CGAGCCCCGCCAAGCTGCGACCGCGGGACGGCGCCCGAGGAGCTGCCTTTCACCACCCTCTGCAGGTGCGAACGGCAGCCTGCCGTGCCGATAAGGAGCACCCTTCCCTCTCCTGCCCGGTGTCCCACCAGGCCAGCCGCTGGTCGGGAGGTTACCCTCGCAGCCCACCCCGCCCTCGATTATCCAGGCAGGCGGGAGCGCCTGGAGGCGCCCGCGCGCCTTTGCCGCTGTTCCCGCGCAGCGCCGTGAGGTGATCCCGGCAGAGGCGGCTCCAGGAGCCTCCCTGCCTCGGCTGCTTCCTCACGGCTCCTCAAAACCCCCGGCCGTCGCAGGAGCCCCTCGCCGTGCCTTGGGAGAGCTCTCCCGCGGGCCTTGGAGAGAGGCTTCCCTGTGACAGCGCCCTGCCTCGCTGCCGGGTGGGCTGAGGGCTCAGGGAGCAGCGCCTTCTTCTCCTCTCGGTCAGGCTCTGTCCCCCGCCCAGCACCCTGTTTCCCCTCAGTTTTCTCTGAGGTAAAACATGTTTCTTTAGCTCTGGTCTCGGATGTGTTTGATGGCTTTGTATGTCGGTCCAATACGGGTTCCCCCCATCCCCATGTCACGTCCACACACAACTTGGGTGCCTCAACAGCAGTAGTCTCGTGGATACGCTCCGACGTGATTACAGGCTGGGTTGGGTTGGGTTTGGTTTGGGCTTTTTTGTGGCATAGGATTTACCCAGCATGACCTGTCGCCTTTCCTCATAGCTGGTGCTTACAGATGTTCTGTACTCTGTGTGTGTGTGTGCAGGACAGCTTCACTGTACCCCACCAACACCTTCAGGCCCTGCCTCTACTTCTTTACCGTCAGCCTGACAGTAAGAGTAGCCACTGTCTCTCAGATTGGTAGTATTCTCAGCTTTAATAAGGAAGCTCTTCATCTTCCAGGTTGTTACTGAAAATTGCAAATATCACTGCCCAGCCCTGAGATTTACCTGCCTTTTCTGACAGAAAAACAGCAATAGTCATTCTCTGACTTATGTTCTGTTCAGCTTAGTAGGAACTCAGTGATGGTTTCAAGTTCATGTGTTGTGATTATTGGCATCTAAAGGTGTAATTTCTCCCACACACATAAAGTTCTCTTACTTGTACAGAAGGCAATTGGGTTTATTTCCTGTGATTTATAACTGGTAGTTCTTTCTTAACTGGTAGTTCTGTGTTAACTGGTACTCCTCTGTTTATCCTCTCCCCTGATGGGAGAAGCCTTTTGCAAGCACTCTGTCCCATTAGCTTTTAAGACGTCTGGGAAGATTTAACTTACGCATTACACAGCGAGTGATTCCCGCAGGGGAGTTGGCCTCAAACAACAAGCAGGGCACTGTAGCATTGCAGCATGTGTTTTATAGCATTGCTGCCACAAAAATCCCCAATAAACATTATGAAAGCAGAGGACTTGGGCTTTCTTCTCTGGATTTGCAAAAAGACAAGATTTTTTTCTCATTTGTTTAAAATGGTCCTTTCCCTTGAGCTGTAGCTTTCGGAATTCCCTGATGAAGTGATAGTCTTGGCTGGCATCTTAAAAAAATCTTCTTTTCATGCTTGTTGAAAAAACTTGAAATGTGTTTTCCTATAAGGGTAAGAAACAAGGAAACATGCTATTTTCTTTTAAATTACAGTTATAAAACATTAATCTTGTGATTTTTCTAGGATATGACTAAGGTTAATTTGTTCAATGTGTTACAGTGTAAGCAAAGCAAAATCAGAACAGTGGAATTATCTTTGACGTTGGTCCTCAAAATATATTTCCAGTTCATAATTTTTTATCATGCTTTTCAAAATAGCTTTTCAAGGGAATATCTGGTGATTTCATAAAATTTAGAATCAAAATATTTATTGCTGTCTTCACTGCAATGATGAGACCATTTTCCAAAAGTGTTTAAGGGTTTGGAGAGGGAAGAACTATTAAAACATCTTTTTCTGGTGTGCAGTGTTTGTTCCTGGCTTTTCATGACAAGCAGACTTTCTACCTGTTTGTCTTTCGTTGAAACACTTTGATTGAGAAAGGTGCTATTGTTAAAAGGTGTCTTTTTATTCAAATACTGAAATATTAGATTATTTTTTTATCTTGAATATTACATTACACTGAGCTCAGCCTGTGCTGCAATACATAGAAGCACACAACAGGTGTCCAGCAAGACAGGTAAGAGCTATAACTTCATATTATTCCTACTGACATGAAATTTGTTTGTACTGTATCAAAGGATCACATTCTCAGTCTGAACTTCTGGTTCCTTTTGGTGCTTTCTAAGAGGTTCCAAAAATGACAAACATGTACATGCATGTACTCTGTATGCTTTTGTCCTTGCCTCTAGTCTGATTATTTTGGCTTTTGTAAATAATGATTTTTTTCAAGTACGATGCACTACATATAACAAAAGGATATTGAGCTGTTTTAGTCGACTAAATTTTTGTATTTCCTACCTGCTCTTAATCAGAAGGTAATTGATTATTCATTTACTTAATGCCATATACTTGTAAAGTTCTGTAAACAAATATTCGCCTTATAAAAATGAATTAATTTTTTATTTTAAGACCCAGGCGCTGCCTTGGGGCAATCAACTATATACCATGAATAAAACCAGGCACCAGTCTCTCTTCTTTGTCAGTCTACCAGAGCTGCAAAAACTCTGTGCTGCTACAGTAACACTGAGTTCTCAGATACCGGAAGCTGAGACAAGGAGTACACAGATAAAAACTTGCAGGTAAAGAATTTTGTGGGCTATTATTTTCAGAAGCTGTTGGTGGTTGCTATTCAAATATTTTATTAGAAGTACTAGAATTAACTGTAATAAAATCAGCAAAATTCTTATCAGCGGCAAGCCGTACAAAATTATTTAACGTAGAGTTTTTTTCTTGGGCAGGGGCCTTGCTAAGTGTTGGGGAGAAAAAACAAATTTCCATTAGGTTTTAAATTTCATCAGCTAAAACTAATAGGGACCACATACATCAGATTAATAAATGGTTAATCTGCGTTCACCTGCAAAAATGGAATGCTTTATGTGGGTTGAGACTCAGTGAAAAGAATATTTGGAAAGCAGAAGTATTCTCCCTAACATTCACCATGCATTATGTCATTCCCTTTAATAGAAAAGAGGAGAAATGAGAAATTCTGCCGAAAGTAATGCTTTTGGAGTGTTCTGTTTATGTGCCCAATGCCTGTAGTCTTTGTCTTAGACCACTGTGGGTCTTCTAGAGCAAGTAACTCGGACTAATCCGATTTATTATACTGAACCACTGGAAACTGATTAAGAGTGGAAAGTATTATATTTGCAGAAGGTGAGGAAAATAAATTTAAGCTGAGAAAATCAAGTGAGTAAAACTATTTTTTAATTTTTTTCTCTCTTTTTTTTTTTGTAGACAGTTATTATTCCTGTATCAAGAGATCCTTTCTGCACCTGTTATTGGAACACTGAATCAAATTTCAGTTGTAATGGCGGTCAGTATCACTGCGTAAATAAGTATCTGTAGTTACATGCTGCTGCAGATGTGCAGAATGCACCTCACTCAAAAGAGAGAAGCCACAGTATGCTTTATTGAGGTAAAATAATAATTTGACAGAGTTCGATGAGTTTGATGGAATTTAGCAAAGTTTTAACAGGGGCTTGACAAGGTTCGGTAAGTTTGATGGCAAGGTTTGCCTCAATAATTACTACATGGAAGAAACATACAAAGGAAAATTGTGTTAGAATGACTCAGAGGGAGACTAGAGGTGCAAGGAATAACATGTCCTCAGTTGAGTCATAGGTTCAGAGTGGACCCCCTCGCTTTCTAAACTCCTTTTTGGAGCCTAGGTGCGACTGGATCCAATCTTAGTCTTGGACTTGTTCAACTGTTCAGTGGAATTATCCATATAATGTTTATAGTATCTGAGTAACTGCATGGATTGGTAATGCTTCATAGTATTCATTCAGCATGCTATCAGTCACTTACTGCAGATCACAGGTAAGGGATCTCCTGGCCTTGAGTAAGGAAGGATCTCTTAGTTTCAGGTATGAAATCTCAAAACCTGAGAGGGGTCCCTGCTCAAGGGGAGAGTCACCTGCCATGCATGCTAGCTGTTGTATAAGCTGGCATTCAGGGAGAGCTCAAATTGAGTCCATCCTGACCTTATTATTAAAAGGATGAAGGAGTTGGCTCTTAGTCAATAGTATAGATAAGACAAATGTCTTTGATTTAGTGCTGATATCTTGTTCTGTACTTTGGTTATCATGTACTTTTGGGTTTCGAAAACACCTTTTGAAATATTTTTCAAGACACCTTCACTCCCCTGTACATGAGCCAGGGACTTTCCAGCTTGCAAGTTCATCCCAAAGACATGAGACCTGTTGCTTCTTGATCAGCCTGAACCAAACTACAGCTAGGGGTCAATTGTATTCTTATACATAGATGTATGTTTCTCTAAGAAGTGTTTTGTTTGAGGATCAGGGATAAGTAAAAATATTTCATTTAAAGGAAACTTTTATTTTTGTGCATTAGTGATGTAGAGAACACCTTAAGTCCTCTACTCTTTTGACTGAAATGACCTTTTTGGATTGTGAACCTTTTTGTGGAATGGAATGGACTCAACTGGTAAGATGCCACCGAATTTGCAAGAAGAGGAGCAGAGTTCCGCAATTGTGTTTTGGGCAGACTTGTCCTTGTTTGTTAATGTATCTTCAACTGGAAATGAGACTACACTATGACAGATGCCTGAACTAATTTTAGTTATCTCCTTTAAAATACAGGATAAAATGTTTGCTTAACTATTCCGGAGCATGTTTTTCAGAGGCAAAGTCACTGTTGTACCAGAATTTAATTTACGATTTGGTAAAACACCTCTTAATTCTAGACACTTGGTTTATTTTTTTTTTTTAATTGTTATTTTTAGATACCGTTTTACAACTCAGGAATATGTCAAGCCTATGTAGAGAGACAAGGAGCTACTGTAAGTGCTGAAATATAACAGTTCTTGAGTCTGTTACACTTGCCTGCAATTGCTGTTGCCAGAAATGAGTATTTTTCATAGGCCATGCAATTTGAACTGAAGCCAAGTTTCAGGGTGAAAAAATCTGCCCCACAGACAAAATGCGTTTTATGAGTCTGGGTATAGTAAGTATACTTTGTCAGAGTCAAAAGTTTTTAGAAGTTCTTGAACAACTTCCCTAGATTTCTCAATTGCAGTGGGATCCTGATCCTGCATAGGGGCATTGGCAACATGCTCTTTGGGCCAAAGCCTTTGGCTCTCCTACTGATCATTCCCTCCACCAGTGCCCCATATATTCCCCAGCAGGGGATGTCCAGGCAGCTGAACTGTCTCCCCATTCAGCTTTGGGTTTACTAAGCCTGTACAGGAAAACAAAGCAAAAGCACAGAGAAGAAATGGAAACCCTGACCTTAACAGCTGATATATTTTTAGAGCATTATGTGTATAATTTACTGCAACATCTGTGGGGTTTATGAATGTATGTGTGGATGCACTAGAAGTGCTGAGTCAAAAGACTGATTGTAATCAAAGCCAGTAGCTCTCATAATTCATTGGAACAGCCAGCTGGGTGTATTTTTCTTTGTTCCAAGAAGTGCAAATGCTTATCTGGATTAATAAGACATATACTGTTTGAATATGCTTATCTCACAAAACTGCTTTATGTCGATATATGCAGCTAACCTGTCATTGTTAGATTTTCCAACACCAGCAGATAAGAAGCATGAAGTATATTTAATAACCATGATCTACAAGTAGTTCCTTGCAGGGTCTCACTAGAAACATCCCTCTGGAGATGTATTAGTTAAGTCTTTTTAAGCCATTATAATTCGTTTCTTGACCAACTCTTGAGCAATGCTAATGGTCAAGAGAAAGCTCTGCAGGACAGACAGGCAAGTGGTGCTGCTGGGTGAGCAAAGCTACATTTATCTGTTGTGATTGCAAGAAAATGTCTCTGGTCTTGAGTTTGACAGCAGAGGTAATGTCAGTTTTGGATGTTGTGCCTATTGTCTGGAAAGAGTTGCATATCTAGTAAAGTACTCCAGATAGTTCAACTGATCTTTTCCCCAAGTCTATTTTCAGCCCTCTGAAAATATTACAGGAGCTGTAGCGCACCTTACTTTGACGCATGAAATCTAAATGCCTACATCAAATATTGTTATTATACTTTCCTCCTGCAGCTAAGTCGATTATGTGTGACGTACACTAGGATTTGACTCCAAGGTGCAGTAACAGTATATTTGCTTAAATTTTGACTGAGGCTTTTGAAAAAATCCGTTAAATTATTAATAATGTATGTTTCTTTTTTACACTTTTGTTATTAGCTGGAAGGACCGCAAACAGTTACTCCAGCCATCCTTCAAACCTGTCTCTCCTATACGCTTACAGCCAGACTTGCACCCAACTGGAACAAGGCTGGCCATCTCTTGGTGCAAGGTATTTGGCTGACCTGGGTCACGGATCAAGCATTTAGTTTCCAGTTTTTTATTGTTGCATTTATTGTCCATAATTTAATTTCCGTAATTATTTCATTCATTATAATAAATTGTTTTGTTCCTTTGACTTTTTTTCTTCAATTGCATCTTTATTGTTCCTTTGTCTAAGTTCAATGATTCATGTTAATAAATGGAATGGACATGAATGGACATACCATTCACTTTTTCATCTTCTTCCTTATTTTTTTAATAGATAAAATAATTATTTGATGATTGCAATGTACCAGATTAATAATTTCCAAACCAAATATTGTTGGACAGTGAATGTCTTCCAAAAATTGGACCTGTTTTTCAGATTCGTGCTTTCAGCAGTGGCATGTGTTCTTCAGATGCTGTGGTGTGCTGGTAATAAGTAGAGCAATTGTATACATAATTTCAAATGTACACTGAGAAAAGTGTATACGGTGTTATCTTATTTCCAGCCACAATAATAACAGTATCCTATTCTCAGTATCTTCAAAATATATGGCTCTCAAAATGAAATCAACTGATTCAGGAGTAGCAGCTAGAAGTAGAGGGCTAGATGGTAGCTGATACAAAGCTGATTGCAATAAAGGCATCGACCAACAGCAACGTGACCTTGATACATGCAGCTTGTCTAATCCTTTATGTTGCTAAAGCTGGGCAAAACATATTTGGTAGAATACATAGTAATACTATACAGATTTGCTTTTGATCCTGAGAAGTGAATTAACTGTTAGTCAATTAAAAAAAGTTCTATGTTCCTAAGTCACTTAAAAATAGTTGCTTCTTACTAGGAGGAAAAAGCAGTGTATAAATTGCTGTCCACTAATATGCTTTTACACATCTTTCTTTTTTATGTAAGATGTTCATGAATCAGTGAAAAGTTAATTGATAGAGCGGGTTTTCTCTCCTTAAAAGGAACACACCTTTCAGCATTCCTGGTGCACACAAACAAAGCTGTGTGATTCCTATTTTTTTTTTCCCACAAAGACTTCAAACATACAGTTTAGAAAATAATGCCTATCTATTTTATTTGTTAAGGAAAAGACTTTCTATCTCATTCAGGAAGGCAAAATGCTGTTGGTAAGTACAAATTCTGTTAATGGTAAACTTGAGAGAGCAAGGTATAATTAAGTACTTTCCTACTGCCACAGTCTTGTCATTTGTGTCTTTGATTTTCATTTTGAAATCACTTCTGTCAAAATACACTTGATGGCAGATGATGCTCTGACTGTAATATCTGTCAGCTCAGCTGAACCTTTGAAAAATTGCCCACAAAAAGGGTAATTTTAATGCTATTAATCTACAGCCATAGATTGAAATTTGCCCATTTAAAGTTATGATTATTGCAAATAAATACTTGCCCCAGATGATGAGTCTTGCAAGTGATGTGAAAGTTTTGTAATAATAGATAGGAAAATGAGCTATAGTGACTGTCAGTATGTACTATGTTTGCTGTTCACAAAAGTGAAGTCACAAAGCATGGTGTTTAGCTACTGCAAAAATTACTAAGTAATATTTTGATTCCTGTATAAAAGTTTACGGCTACATTTGGGGATATTGGAGCCTAAATTTGTAAGAGGGATGTATATTGATGAACTCAAAGCTGGGTGAAAGTTATGGAGGTGTGCCAATAAATGCATGCCTTGTTCATATAGTCTTTCCTATTGAAAGATAAGAATATGAGGCATCCAGTTGCACATCCAGCCTTGAGTTTCTAGGGAGATGTATTGTGCAACGGTAATTCATTATTATTTTTACTTTCATAGTTAAAATGCTCTTGGTTTTAATTTCCATGCTGAGAAAGTCTAGCCTTTTGATTTTCAAATGCAACATTTTGACTAACAATTACCTTAAATAAATACCTGGGTTAGCTTTCTGCCTAACAGATGAACTGTAATTCAAAACAAGGCTTTGTGCTTTTTTTAATTTTAGTTGTAGACCTCAATGTGTCAGAGAGACAGCTCTGCATCAGTGTGGAGGCTTGCTCTATTCGTTTGCCACCCCCTGAGGTATAAGACGGTTATATTTTCTATGACTGTGTTTGTCTTATTAATCTCCATCTTCTGTTAGGTGACTTCCAATTAGCACGACAGGGATAGAAGTGCTTATTTCTGATTGCACTGAGACATTAATCATAGTCATTGACTACCTGCACCTGTTATAAGAGCATAACATCCATATCGTATCTATATTGATACATTCTAGCAAACATTATAAAATTGAGATTCTATAAGAGACCTTTCAAAAATGGAAACAGAATATAGTAGTGGAGTGTTTTGTAATTCTAGATTTCCTTCTGGCAGTGTTTTCTAGAAAGCATTTAGTCTCACTGTAATACATAGACAGTTTTTGAGTAACAACATTGAAACTACAGGTGAGTTGTCAGCACCATGTTTAAAGTCCCTGTATATGATTATGTATATGATTATTACGGAATCTGTTTCATATTCTTGGCAGCCTCCAAAGTACTGGAGCAACTGGGACCATGCTGCTTGTAAGCATAATGAACAAATTGTTTAAGAAATCATGGCTGAGGTTGAAAACTTACCATCCATTGTGACAGCCATGTCACCGTTGGTGCATATGTCCATGTAGGGTCATATTTGTCAGGCTTGCCAGTTTCTTCTAAAATTCTTTCTTAGAATAGAAGAACAGGATTTCTTCTAAGGTGTGCTTGGGACAGCACAAACATTAAAGCCATCTATAGGAATCCAATTCCCAAACGACACAGACCAGTGATGGACGTGATCATGATGTGGCTTCATTATCAGTTTGATCCTTTCAATACCTTTCTAAAACAGAAATGTCCAGATTTTCCTGTCAGTGAATAAATGCAAACCCTGGTAGACCATAGAAAGATAAAATATTTCTCAAATCTCAGTCTTTGATTGTCCCATAGAGTCAAATATTGACATTGTGAAAATGTGTGGTGTTTTTTGATTTCTCAGAGGACGAAACTGCATGTCCCATTAATTCTGTCGCTTGGATATTTGCACGTGAATAGGCAAAGTGACATACACAGTTACTAGAATGTCAAACATGAGTTTCTGATCTGCCTTTTAAAAACTGTGCATGGAAGTAAGACAGCTCTCAGTTTGAGAAATTCCTGTACTCTTACTTATTAAAGCATCTCAAATAAAGTTTAAATATCACTGTTTTAAATAAACTTTAAACCTTGTACTTGTATAGCTTATGGAAGTGTGAGCTCTAAAATAAGATAATGTGCAGTTTGATAAAGGAATATCTTCTAAAATAATCAGTCTGTGAGAGCTGATAAAAGAAAAATTTTGAAAATTTTAGTTTTGGATGACTGTAGAAATATTTCAAAAGAACTTTTTCTTTTTTCTTTTTTAAGCTGGGAGATTTCGATATTTCAGAAAACACTGTAAAGCAGTTTGACAGCAATGAAAATGCAGTTATTCACCAACATTCCATATTAAGTAACTGGTGCTATGTTTTGCCAAGGTAGGAATCTGTTTACATTTCAGCAGAAATAAACACTCCCTGGAATGCTTGCCCTAAAAACTGTGAACTTGATACTACTGATAAGAACACTTCTGTTTTGCGGTCAGGAATCTATTTTTTTCTTTTATTATCTAAATGTTATGGAAAATGAGAAAAATTAACCGATGAATCATAAATTACACATTTAAGTATTATTTCAATTTTGTGCTACTTCTGTGGTATGCAAAAGCATCATTTTTTCTCAAATATAATTTTAGCAGAAAGTGTCAGTTTAAAGAAAAAATATTTCCATCCTTACCACAAACTATCTTTATTTTTACCTATGCTTTTTCATCATAAAAATATGAGAAGCAATGATATATTTGCTTTTTTTCTCTATTCACTGGTAGTATTACGGACAAGATAAATTAGACTTGTAGATCCAAGTTCTTTTCCACACTTCAGGAAGTATTGCTATTGTTATGTCATAAACTTATGAGCTAAATGTCCTCAAAACAAAAATAATCTGTAAATACTTTCAATGCCAAATTATTTTTTTTTCCAAAAGACCAGTATATCTTTGGCTGGATTTTTTGACACTCATTCTAAGCATCCCTTCTTTACCTGTGCACAGCATGAAAATGGGTCAGATCATAAACATCACCCATATAATTCCACCAGAATCTCCTTTCCGTTCATATAAAGAATTTCAGGTGCACTGGAAGAGTTTGGTAAGAAACATATACAGTTTTCATTTTTCATTTCCTTCTTTGTGCCTATTGAGTTTGTATTTGTAATACACATTTGTGTTTGGTTTTTTGCAGTATGGTTATATTCTTCCTGAGGATCTTGAAGAGACAAAAATATACTTGAGTGTTTACTTCAAACCAATAGGGGAAAGGTTCTTCACGTATCCTTTCAGAGTATATTTGTTACATTTCCTCTACTACATTTCTAGCAAAGCTCTGCTTTTCATTTTTGAGTGCACCACATTTTCTTCTTCGTACTTTTATAGAAGCCAGCAGAGAATTGTTTCACTAGAGAAATTGAAACAAAATATTTAGTCAAGTCTCTGTTCTGGTGTTGAATAATAGTCAAATAGAGCCATTTATTTCACGGCTTCTGTAAACATGATAATGCCACTCTAAATGGTGATGTAAAAGAAAGAGTTAAATTCTTGTAAAAACATGGCCAACAAATATTTGTTTTAAAGAGAATTTTCCTGCCAGGAAAGACTGGACTAAGGATTACTTCTACTGAGTAATCTTTACTACTGTAGGTTAGTATGGTATAGTCATGCTGAAGTCCTATAACTTTAAAAGCTTCAGTCCTGCAAGAAACTAAATGCTTTTTTTCACCTTTTTAAAAAAGCTTTAGGCCTGTTCATGCTTTCTTCTCTACAAAGATGATTAGTAATTATAGAAACATAAAGAAACTTGTTGTGTATCGCTTAACACTTATTCAGGTATCCTTTAAGTTGCGTTCGTAGCCAGCCAGTGCAGTATTTCCCTAGAACAGATGCAGAAAGTGTAGTGAACTCTTTTGTTTCTGACATGAAGAGCAATCTTTCACAACTGTGTGGATTCCCAGTGAAGATGACAAGTAAAGCACTTTATGGTACACAAGAACTCTCCAGGGCTCTGGTGGGTATAAGGCTTTTTTATAAACATATTGATGGTGATGCTTTTTCATGGTACGAAGTGGTCTTTATCATAACCAGAGCACAGTAAGAGCATATAACTGTGCTTTTCACAACAAATAACTATCAATCCTGTAACATTTAATTAAATGTGGAAGGAAAAATTACATTGTTATTTGCCATTGTTATGTTATTATTCATATCACAAATACATTAAAAAATTAAACTTGGTGTTATCGGTATTTGCAATTCTATAGATGCTTTTTAACAGTTGGATATCCAGAACTTTCTCAGCTCTCTTCCATAACAATATTAACAATATTGTTATTATTAGTATTACTGTTATTACTATTACGAGGGCATGTAGTGACAGAACAATGAGGAATGTCTTTAAACTCACAGAGGGTAAATCTAGATTAGATATTAGAAAGTAATTCTTTACTGTGAGGGTGGTGAGACACTGGCACAGGTTGCCCAGAGAAGTTGTGGATGCCCCATCCCTGCAGGTGTTCAAGGCAAGGTTGGATAGGGATTTGACCAATCCAGTCTAGTGAAAGGTGTCCTTGCCCATGGAAGGGGAGCTGGAACTAGATGACCTATTAGGTCCCTTCCAACTCAAAACATTAATAACAATAACAATTGCAATAATAATAATAAGTGCATAACATATCTAATATGTAATTATATATAATATATAATATATAATACACAATTAATTATTGTTATTAATATAGCAATATTAATTTTTAAAAAGAAAGTTCTGTGAACTTAAGCATTTAAAACCAAGCTGTAAGATTTGCTCCATGTCTGGTGATGGAAAGGAGGTAAGTAATCAAAACTCCTTTAATTTGAGATTGTGACAAAGGCTGAGACTCAAATTTCTTCGGTAGTAGTGAAAGAAATGAAGTAATTAATTCTGAACAAAGAATAGTGACAGAAGTTGCAGAGTTTCTAAAATGCTATAATCCTCTTTCAGAAAGCAGTTCCTGTTTATGTGTCTTCAGTGATCAAAGCCAGAATGGCTCCTCTGTGTCATCTGCAGTTTTTATAGACATCCAAACTGTCTTTTGCTCAGAATACAGATGCTTTTAGAAGTCTTAAGAGACAAGGACCCCTGCCAATCAAACCCTGTGCAGACCACCTCAAAAGGGGTAGACATTATCCAGCTGGAAAGCACTAAACCAAGATAATGACTGTAATTTAAATTTAAGTGTTTCCTTCTGATAAATACGATATTCCAGCATAGTTTATAAACAAAGAACTGGATGAGATGAAAAAAAAACCCCTTAATTTATAGTGACAACTAAATGTTGTTTAAAAATATAGTCATTCTGATTCAAAACAGGAAAATGTATGCTTATATCTTGTGATATGTATTAGGTTGATATCATATCGTGATGCATTGTGTGGCACTATAAGACTTTTTAAATCCAGTTCATTCAATTTAACAACTCTTGTTTTATTGCAGGAAATAAAATCTAAGCATATGAAATTGGATGGTGAGATGGTTTGTGTAGTATCTCTAACGCAGGCTCCTCCAAGGAATCCGACTTTGCCTAGACTTCCTTCCCCGTGCAGTACGGAAACCAGCCACTGGATGGAGCGTTTGCTCAAAGAGCCAGGAACACGCAGTTTTTCGAGTAGCAGCGAAGGCGCAGGAGAGGTTAGCACTGAAGCAACAGAGAAATCAATGAATAATAAGCAAATACCAGGAGTACCGGAGTTACCAGTTGCGAAATCTTTAGGAATACCCGTAAACTTAGCCTTTGAATTCCCTCCCCCAAAAGTCAGCAAAATTATACCAATTTTCAAAGGAAAGTTGATGCAAATGAACGGGAAGGCCACAAATCAAATGGATAGGAAGAAAAGGGAAAATACTGAAAGACCAATACAAGTTATGGGTGTTTCATCTTCTGTGCTGTCTGTGCACAAGTCCAGCATAACTCAGGTTTTCAAACAAGATCAAAATTTGCCAGTCAAAAATCCTACTGACAGCAGCATATTTCAGGTAATGAAAACAAAAACACGCACAAAACATGGTACACCCATATTTCAATGGAAAACAGAGTCTGGTGGACAAATTACTAACTCTGATTTTTCTGAAAACTCAACTTCAGGTGGGAATTCAAGTGAAGTCAACCACAAAAAGACAAATTCTTCTTTCTTTCTTAAGAATGTTGAGCCAGTGCTTCAGAAATCCAACACCAATCTGAGTCTGAATGCATATGAATCTCCTATTTCCAGTGCAAGAAGGGGAAAAAAGTTTGCAAGTCAAAATACCCTGCAAGTTCTTCAGGAACAACTCCAGTCAGAGGAAGTGCACTCGCAGATTTGTAAATTAGACAATGAAATTACAAATTCCGGTTTATCACTGCAACAAACAAAGAGATCAAATAAAGGCATGGGGTTAAATATTCATGAATCTGTCTTCAAAGGTATAGTTTGCATTGCCAGAAGTGAAGAAAATAAAGCATCATGCCATTCTAAGGACTATATCGCTAAGACAACCAGTCATCATTCCAAATCTAATTTTGAACAGGTACAGTAAATAACAGGGCTCATTCTTACTGCTTCTCACAAATTCAGTATATTCAAAAACAACGTTAAGCAATAAAGAGCATGACTTTCATCATGTTCTGCCATCATTCTCAGTATGGTTTTCTAAAATTCTACTAACTTAATGTTTTCAGCCACTGCTGTTTTTTTTCTGAAAGGGAAAATGATTTACTGTGTTATGTGAGACACACGCTTCTATTATGTGGGACTTTTAAGGTGGGATAAATTTTTTTTCTTTGTTTAAGACAGTTTATCAGTTTATCAAGATCTGTGTGAGGTTAACATGGTAAAATTGTTTGGTGTTCAGTCTGTCTTCAAATGAAATCATAATAATGGAGTAATTCCTTCCTCTCAAACTTCAGTTGTGTAATGCTGACAGCAGTTGTGTGTAAGGCATTGTGCCGTTAGACAGACGTGGAAGTTTTGCAAACAGAAGTTTAATTACAGTTTCACAAAAAGCACAGGTTGCAACAGGAAAAAGTCCTGCTGGACATAAGGAAAAAAATTTTCAGAGTGAGAGTGGTCAAGTACTAGAACAAGTTGCACAGAGGTGTTTTTGAGGTTGTTAGTTTTTCAGGTTCTCAGACCTTGACTGAATAGGCCCAAAGCAAGGTGATCTATTTTTGAAGTTAGCTCTGTTTTGAGTAAAAGTTATGATTACATGACAGTCAGAGGTACTTTACAACCTATTTTTTCTGTGATTCTCTCTGCATTTCAATAAAATAAATAGCTGAGCTGATTGCAGTACAGTTTTAATGAGGATGATATCTCATGTATTGGGCACATGGATGAAATGTCCTGTGCTTATCACTTTTTTCGTCCATAACGTAATTTGGTAGGTCATCTCAACTTCATGTTATGAGGGCACCTTTTGAAAACATAGGTAATTTTAACAACTAGAAAACTTGTTCAAAATTTTGTGCATTTTTTTTTTTTTTGCTAATGAAGATATAAACTTGTATACTTCAGATGATTACAGGGAACAAGTATCTGACATGTGAAACACTGACCTCAGAACTGACTTCATCAGTCAAGGAGAACAATATGGAAGAATCTGTAAAGAAAGGTTGTGCCAGAAGAAGACAGGTAAAAGCCCCACACACATACACCCCTTGATCCAGTCCAGAAGGACCTAAATTAAGAGATAAAAAGGAAATCTAAATTTTTTTTTCATTTCAACATGTTCCAGGTAAAACAGGCAAACTAAGAAATCTTTTTGAGCTGGTTCTGAAGAAAACAAACCATAACCAGGATAAAGCTAACATTAACCATTGGTTATGTTGCTTCAGGCCTTCATTTAAAATGTTTGTTTCCAGAAAAAGACATTACTAAAATGTTTAATGATGTTACTGTTTCTGAAGCAGATCTTCTGATTCTACAGAAAACATAATGCCATATAATGCCAATATAACTATGGGCATTGTCAGTGGCTCTGTAAGTATCTCATCCGAAGGGCTTGATTTCAGCAACGTTCTGTAGAAACTACTTTTTGTTCTGTTAAGCTTTTAAAGCCCAATACAAGACAATTCTGGAAGTTTTAACTGTAATTAAGAGAACACACTCTGTGCTTTCAGTGCAGTTCCGAAAAGGGCGGTACAGCAACCCCAGGGGCCTGCTGCAGGAACACAGTCATACCCTGGAGCTCAAGCTACAGCAGGGAAGAGAGGAGTTGGTGTGGGAAGCGCCAGCCCAGCTGCTCTGAGCTGGCCCCATCCAGCTGCAGCTGGGAAAGGCCCTTCCACAGGGCCACAACTGAGTCACTAGTTACAGGCCCAGCACTACAGTGCTACAGCAGTAGAGTCAGTCTCACAAAGAGAAGAAAAGCAGCAACTAAAAATAACTGTGGTCATAAGAATAGCAACCCCAGGGGTCTGAGTACTGAAGGGAAACTTCCACCACAATACAAAGGACAGTGCTCCTTCCCCATTCCACCAGTGCTGCCAGACCAGTTACAAGTTCTCTGCTTATCTGGTCTGCCCAAGTTGCAGAGGTAGTTCCATGCTCACAAGCCCTACTCTGAGTCATTCCCAGTGGCAGGCAAAGGACTTCAGCACTGTCCTGTCCTAGTCAGGAGTCAGAAGTGCCCCATGCATTCCTCACTCTCCAGGCAGGCTGTGAGTAGCACAGGTACCTGCCTGAGCCCTGCAAGCTAATTTTGGAAAGTGTCAGGAGACAGCAAGTTCTCACTGCCTCCCTGCACAGTCAGTGCAGCACTGCCACTGCTGGACTCAAGTGAGGTGGATGCACAGCTCTAGGGAAATTTCAGCTGGAGTCTCAGGAATAGGAGAGGGACTCGTCTGTTCACTGGGGTAGGGATGGACTCTCTGGTGCTCGTCAGTCTGATTCCTCCTCTCTCCAGATTAAACTACAATGGCACTAACTGGAGACACTGCTAAATACTTCTCTGAAGAGTAAGCCTTAGTCATTATTTCTCAAGTTTGGACAACCAAGTTGGTTTTGAAAGTCATGGTTGCCAGCATGTAAAAGGGTATTTTCCCAGTAGCTCTGGTCTTAATTATTTAACTACTTTAAATTATATTTATATTGAAGAATAAAACCTTTTATTAATTACTTTGCATTCAACTAAACATTTCATGAGAAACAACTTTTTCAGTTGAACTGTTAGCTTAATATTACTGCTTTGTTTGCTTTACTGGTTTTTGCCTCTTTTTTTTGTTTGATTTTGAGCAGAAAGAAGAAGGTTATTCAAAGTTAAGAACAGTCAAAAGAAGTAAGCCTTCTACTTAGGATGTTCTGGAGTACTGAAAGAAAACTCTGGGTATGCTTACTACAAATTTTAAATATTTTTCTTTTATTAAAATAATATCACATGTCTGTAATAGTTCCTACTCTTTTGGATGATATCAGCTGTCTACAAAGGAACCACTTTACTAAAGAAATGGCTTCTAGAACAAAATAATGAGGTAACAGAAGCTAAGTTTCATTGGGCACTAACAAATAAAGCTTTGCCTTTTTTTTGTGTGAAACAAGCAATGTTAAAAAAAGGCATTTTGTACTTACTAGTACTTAGCATTTGGATTAAATTTATTTGTATTGGCTTATTTTCTCTCAGACTAAAATACAACTGGTTTTTGTACTTTGATGTTTCATTTGAATCTGAGCTGCAGTTAAAACCATAAACCATGCGCGTGAAGCTATGTGTATCATTTGATATCGTTTCATGAAATGGAGTGCCTAAATGCTTTTGTGGTGCTGAGATCTAATCAAAGGACAAAACTGTCTGTCATACAAACTGAATAAATATAGTTTTGTGATGGGATATTTCAGCCTACATCATGAGTGGTTGTTGATCGTAGTCTTGCAAGATAGAACAAGCTTGACCTTTGAATGTTCCTTTGAATATTAAGGACATACATAGCATAAGAGTCACACGAGTTTTAATGCCCTAATGCCTATCACAAGTTATCAGTAGTAAAACATGCAGGAAGGAGTAGCCTGTACAGTAACTGTTTCAGAGATAAATAGAAGTATATTTATTTAGAAGAAAATATTGATGTAAGCAAGATGGTCACACAGATGCAACAGCACAAAAATGTACGTTATACAAAGCAAATAGAAAAACAGAGCAATAAAGAAGCAAAATATAACCTGTGCATCTTTTAATCTGGCTTTTGTCTTCAACATATGTCCTTCCTTTCTTTACGTGAATGTATTTCTTCCAGTGAACATATATATCAGTTGTCTGCTTTTCCTAGAGAAAGTACATTGTATGGATGGAAGCTTCCCATCTATGGCCATCATACTTCAGTGTTCAGCATATTCTACTCCTGGGTCTTATATTTCACCTCTTCTGCTTCAAGCCAGGTGGTTCAGGCATGGTCCTTCTTCAGAGGTGATATGTTTTAGTGATCAGCATAGATATCTGTAGGTCCAAAGTCTGTGACTTTCACTGAGGACTGATGAACAGAAATAATGTCTCTGCAAATGGTCTGAACTTTACTTTTTTTTGCTCTGATTATTTTTTTTAATTTATGAGTTAAATGCTGCAGGGTCGAGTTGACAATGGTAGGTGATGCTTAAACCCTTGAGAGGAAACAGTGTCTTCTGTAAAGGGTTTAAAATATGATTTTTAAAAATTCCTCTGACAGGAGTTCTTCATTGGTGTTGATTTAAAAAGAAAACTAGAGCTAAAATAACTTCTGCTGTTGGGTGGGTACCTACATATTTGATTCTGAAAAGCTTTGCTCTGAATTCCTCTACTATGTATTGCTGCACATTTTCAGAGTGCATGTTTTCATTTGAACACTCGAGAATTACTTGTAAGTTTTCAAATTTATTGTGTACTAAGATTTATGGGTAAGAAGGCCTTACAATGGAATTCCATGATATAGTCAGCAGAAAGGACTTGGTTCTATAATTCATGACAACAAAATTATTTTTACTATTATCTTGCAGCAAGGGTCAGTTTTTGTGACTGATGTGCCAGGTTGCATAGCCTCATGACTTATCCAGGAAATCACAGCATAATCCTAATTTTCTTTTTTTTATTTTGCTGGAATGTGTTAATAAAGCAATGTGAGAGAAGTACTTAACATTTTAAGAAGCTGAATGTTTAATTCTAATACTAAATCATCCTCATTCATTCTGGTTTTACCCATATAAAGACAATCCCCTACTCTCTGGGGACCGACTCAGACTTTTCTTTGGCATAAAAGGAAGTAGCCAGATATTAAGAATATTTAGGGGCCTGGACTATGCTGGGTACATTGTTTTTTTCCAAGGCCATGCAGATTGGGCCATTGGAACCTCAAAGGCTGTTGAAGTGTTCAGGCTATGGAGTGGGGGCAGGGTGTCTGCTGCTGGCTGAGTTCTGTAGAGTCTGTTGGGTAAGTTGTCTAGATTTTCATAGAATTTAATAGGAGTTTTGACATTTAACACATATGTAGAGTGGTACAGGTAGGTGGTCTAAATCTGGAGCTCAAACGCACCACAGGAGTAAGACTTGAATAGTAATGCAGTGTGAATAAAGACCTGCATGAAAACAGAGCTTGCAGAAAAGGTTTATAGATTCTTTTTAAGCTGTTTTATATTTGCAGTCAGATTTTTTAAAAAGTCTCCATGCTTACTCCTTTATTCATGAAAGTCATCCTATCATTTTCAAGGTCAAAAACTACTGTGAAAGGGAAGTTTGGCTTCTAAAACCAATCATAAGAGCAGAGCTTCCAAATGACAGTATAAATGAGTACAGAAAGATTTTTTTAGAAGAAGGACTTGCATCATCACAAATGTTGATGCAAGAACGATACTGCCCTTTGGTTTTCATTGCCAAATTTAGCAAATGAGAAGATGCAAATTTGTCACAGATAATAGTAATAATAGTAGCATTTCACCTGAAAATATTTGCTGCCATTACCGGAAGAATATTGTATGAACACAAGATGAAGGCAGGAGATCCACACAACTGGAATTACAGAAAAATTCGCAGTAGTTTTGGCCTGAGAACTGTTGGACTGTTTCTTCTACAAGGTGTATTCCTCAAGGCAACATTTAGGAATTTTTCTTATATTTTGAAGGGCACTATACAAACATTTCAACAAAGCCATCTTTCAAACGCGTTCTTGATGTGAAAGAGTAGGCTAAAATAATCCCTTTTGTACATAGCGAAAATATTTGGGGTTTCATTGAAACAAGATTCTGAAAATGCTCAGTCTTTTGATGAAAAAACAATTTCTTCTATGATGGGGGAAAATTTCCTAATCAAATCTAGTAGCAGAAATAACCTTTGGACTGTTTTCATTAGTAGGTTGTTGGTACCTAAGTACTTGACACATAGTCCAAAAAAATAGGTGCAATCATAACATTATTTCTGTTACCCTATCAATTTTTCATTGCTGCAGGATTTTTCCAGGTTAGGGGTAATCTCATTTACTGTGTGGTTGACCATTTATAAGTGCTAAATAATAGTTTCTTAAGATTCTGTCTCTTCCTTTCTCAGAGAGTTAAGAATGTAGTTTGGCTACCTGACCTCAACTGGTGAGCTGTGGTTAAGAAGATGTGAATAGACTTCTTCAATTTAAGTTTCTTCTTCTGACTGTAATATTTTGAGGGATTTAAATTTAAAAACTCAGACCTAAGAGGAAGGATAAAGCTGTGCATGGTGCCATAGATTTGTCAAGAAGAGAAGCCTCTTTTGTTCTGTATTAAAAATGCATGCATTTAATGTGGATGCCCTAAATCCAGACTTTGTAAGCAGAATGCAAATACGAATGTGGAACTACAGAAACTTTTTATTCCCTGCATATTAACCATACAATTCTGAGTTGTCTTTTGGTTTCTTCTATGCTCTAAACTTTTTCTATGTTTTTCTTCATTCAGGTTTCCAAGAGGGCATACTTGAGGATCTTCAAGCTTTGTGTATTTAGCTCTGTTTGTCATTGGTACCTGTTTCTTCATGAAAAACTGAGTGTTAAATACAGTTAAGTGAATCCTTGTATCAGCAACGTCTCCAGACAGTTCAGGTTAATAAGATTCTAATGAACTTAAAAAATTAGCTAAATTGTTTAGTTTTTGAATCACATTATATCTGTCCTAGTACCTGCTTACACAGTTAATCATTCTTTCAAGTTATTTTGATGTTTCAAGTCTGATTTGTAAAGATATAATATCTAATTCTTTCCTATAATGTCTGGACCACTTTGTTTCATCAGTAAAACATTCCTAAATAAGTTTTCCTTGTCAAATCAAATGCTTAGAAAATAAAAAATAATTTTATTCTTAGGGGAATGATCTGAAGGCCAGGTTTAATTAAAGCTTCATTAATTCTTATTGTAATTTTTGACAAATTTTCAGAAATGAAACTACTCTGTAAAAGACTTGTTTTAAGTTTAATTGACAAGCTATTCTCCAGGAGTTTATGCAGAATATGTAGTTGCCCTTTGGTTAATTTTATCACCATAAGTATATCTTCAATGACCTACTCAAAGGTGCAGTTACAAATATAAACATATATATATGGTTGTTGCCCCATAATCACTGTTTTAAAGTGAACCTTATTACTTTACCTGGAACATAAGAATTCAATGTCACCCTAGCTCCTAAACTCAAGCATTATAGAACTGAAGTTTAACACTTGTTTTAGATATACATTTGCAAATCTTTTTTTCCTAAAGCAACTGATACAGTAGAACTTTATGTGCTTTATGAAAATTTTTAATGTTTATATTGCCACATCTGTATTTTTATTTGCCTCATTTTTCAAAGCAGGATTTTGCCCTACTACTATGACAACTTTTGGTTTGTTTTGTTGTGGAGTTTTTTTGAGTGGTGACTGCTAACATAGCTTAAATTTCATGGTGCAAGTGTTTAAAAGGAAGTGGGCACTTCAACAATATGTCATTTTCTCATACATAATATAAAAACATACAAGCCAAGACAAATATCACAAAACTTTGAGCAATATGCAAGAAATCAAATTATATTTACATTCTATCCGGAAATTTGTATACAAAGCTAATTTTCAAATTCTGTTGGGTTAGTTACTCTTTTATAGATTTAACCTTATGTAATTGATCCTTTACTTGTCCTACAACATGGTAAAGCCTGTAGAGCAGTTGCACTTCTACCATGCTATATAAATTAGTGCTTTACCTAATCTGTTTCCTGTTGTTGCTGTTAAGATGCTGCTGGTTGCCAACATTTGCCTTGTATTATCACAGAAGTAATTTTGTGCTATTCTTGCATTTTCAAATGTTTACATTGTTTTGTATCTGTTATAATACTCAAAATACAGAGTATTTAAAATAAATATTTAAAATAAACTATTGAATTACCCGTGTGTGCTAAATTGGAAGCTACTTCCTAGTCTACACTGTAGGGGAGAACCCTGCTATTTCACCCACCCACCCACTCCTTGTAAACACGTGGGAAGGCGTTGATAGTGAGTAGAACTGTGCTGGGTGCAGGAGTGGTGCCGATGGAAATGACACCAATGAGGAAGAAGGATGAGCGCTGTGACTGCCTTGGGAGGATTTGGGGATGCTGAAGGGACCTTCACTGCTGCCCTACCCTTCACTGTTTATATGGAGGGGTTGTAAGAGCTCACCCCACTTTCTGCTTTTAATCAGTTCTTACTAACAGGGCAGAATATCCTCAGTTCTGGCAGGTATATGAACGTGCCAAAGGAACCCTCAACAACTAGGACCACCTGGAGCCCCCACATGTGATGTCTGCTGGCTTGATTTCTCAAGATTTAAGAAACAGACTCCTCCACCCACCCCAAAATATATAAACGTACATTAGGAAGAAGTGAAAATGTAAAAGGTTAAAACAGTCCCCAGGTGTGAGATGCTGGTAAAGAGATCAACTGGCAGAAGCTATCACCTGCCCTTTGACATCTACTGGGTTTTACAGTGTTTTATAGCTTTTCCATCAGTTTTCAAATCATCTGATTCTATATCTAAGTCAATTCAGATCTATATTCACAAGAGCTTTCTTTGGTCACTGTATTGGAGGATTTGTCGAGTTGAAGTATTCGTAATGATTTCACAATATTTAGTAAATACGCATTTCCAGAGATATTTTCATAAGTTGACTGTTCTTATCCTCTCTCATCTTCACAGATTTAAGCCAGAGGGACTTTTTATGTGCTTTAAATTGGCACATGCAGAAGTGCTCTGTCAAATATGAACTTAGAAGCTTGCAAATTGTCTTACAGGTGCTTATAACTGCAGGGAAGCTTGTTGTTTAGCTCATTTGGTGCCAGAGTCATACCAGCTTGTGGTTCAAACCAGATGGTTTAAAAATAGTGTGATCAAGACCCCTGAAAGTACTATGTTCACTATATCACAAAGGAATTAAGTAAATATGTCAATCTAAGGCCCTCGGGCTGCATGGTTTTTTTGCATCGATATGCTCATCATATCTTCCCTGAATTGAAGAAATGTGGCGTCTCCTGTGCTAGTTCAGGAAAACATCGCATCCCTTAAAATGACAGTGTGCTGTCTCTTTGCAAAACTGTGTGGTTCTGCTGGCCCATGGACAGCACAGAGCAGCAGCTCAACCTCTCACCTAAAAATTTGCAGCCAGGATGAGCAAGTATGTTTTCCCTGGGATCTGTGCAGAACTTGATGCAAACTCTGAACAGCTTAATCCCCCCAGGGTAGCATTAGAATCTGGGACAAGGCAGTCCAACTTTGCTGGAAAATATGTGAAAATTGTTCCCAAAGAGCTTACAGATCCACCAGGAACACACGTAGCTTCTTGCAACAGTTTTTTTATTGTTCAAAACCGTGACAACAAATTTCTTATTTAACCCAATATGTAAAGGGATTCAAGCTTGCTCAAGCAAGAGCAGTTCAAAAGTACTGAAGACTAATATTTCTGATCTTCTTGCAGGAAGCTTTTTGTCTGGGATTAAATAATTGCTTTCAGGAACAGAAAGTTTCGTTCCAGTGAGAGAACAGCCAAATATGTGTGTATATATATACACATATATATATATATATGTATATTCATACACATATTTTTATGTATTAGAGCACATGTGTGTGAATACACACATCCATACATATAGCTGTGCTTCATTACAGATTTTTAAAAAATATGGTGCGGGTGTGTAATGTGAAAATTTTATTTCTAGTACAGACAGTTCAGATTGGGCAGCAGTATTTGGTAGTTCCCTGTTGCCAAGTACCAGAGGGTGGTGCAAGAGAGAGAATTTTCATTTAGTTGTCCTGATTCCCTTGTCCATGATGCAGAATTCAATTTACATTGACAGGAACAGGCTGCCAAAGCCTAGCTGGTTTTAACTGTGCTGAGCTTAATTAAGTACTATTAAACCATCAACTACTACATAAATAAATCAAGAGTTAGCCAAGTGTGCTGCAGCTTGCAGGGTGGCTATGGTATGAAATCTTGGGTGATGCCAATTCAGTAATGAAGGTAAAACTTTCACTCTTTTCTACACGCCAAGGACATTCCAACCTATTCCAACATGTTGGTCTGTGCACTGCAGGTATGCCTGCAAGTTGGTCACCTGGGTTGATGATCCAAAGTTGAACTTTAACATAAATATACACAAAGTATATTGTGGTTATGTGCTTCTCAACTTCCACAGTCCAGTAAAATGCATTTCCCTTATTTATGCATGGTATTGCAGCACAGATTTTAGAGAGAATGAACATTTGTTTTACAAAGCAGCTGGCAGACTGTCTCAGCTCAGCCAGGGAGTAGTGCCGGGGAATGGAGGCCGGCAGGTCGAGGGAGGGGATTCTCTCCTATTCTACTCTCATGAGACCCCTCCTGGAGTGCTGCATCCAGCTCTGGGCCTACCAACATAAGAAAGACATGAACCTGTTGAAGAGGGTCCAAGGGAAGGGCCACTGAGATGATCAGAGGGCTGGAGCATCTCTGCTATGAAGACAGGCTGAGAGCTGAAGCTGTTCAGCCTGGAGAAGAGAAGGCTCTGGGGAGACCTCAGACCACCTTCCAGTACCTAAGGGGGGACAGTGAGAAAGCTATAGAGGGACTGGTCACAAGGGCATGCAGTGATAGAACACGGCATAATGCCTTTAAACTGACGGGGGGAGGGGTTAGATTGGATACTGGGAGGAAATCCTTCACTGTGAGGGTGGTGAGGCACTGAAACAGGTTGTCCAGAAAAGCTGTGGGTGCCCCATCCCTGGAAGAGTTCAAGGCTGGATTGAATGGGCCTCTGAGCAACCTGGTCCAGTGAAAGGTCTCCCTGCCCATAGCAGTGGGGTTAGAACTGGTTGGTCTTTGTGGCCCCTTTCAACCCAAAGCATTCTATGATTCTATGAAACCAGCTAAAACTGCTCAGTGCCAAAGTGTTTTCCAGAAAAAAAATAAGAAGGGTTATTCCACTGGGAGGTGCTAGCAAGAAACCCCTATGCCCACACATCCAAAAAAGATGCGGATACCTATTTAATTTTTTATGTCACATTTTTTATTACATTATGCTGCAGAAATATTTTTATTGCAACTGGAGTTTTGTGGCTCTGGGATATTTCAAAGCACATGAGGTAAATGAAACTAAATTAAGCCTCTGCTGAAGAGGGAAAGTAGGGTAGTAAATCATAACATGGAATGATAAGGTGGTTCTCGATTTTCTGATTTTTTATTTTTATTTTGAAGACAAACTTCATTTATTTTCCATTCATACAATGGAAAATAGTATGGAAAGAGTTAAAATGGACCCTCTGTAAAGCAGATAACACTGTGCAGTTTACTGTGAAGTTTTTAGTGTATGTGAACAGCACCGTAAATTATTGAAATATGTGTAAATTCAAGCATTCATTAACCAGGAAATTTCTGTAGCGCCCTTTGTATTGCAAGAGAGACTTAAGTAAGACTGAGTTTCATAAGTTTATATTTTCTGGAAGTTCAGACTCTTTGAGGCTGACCAAAACTTTTCATTTTATATCCGATGTCACAGCTCCTGTTGGAATGCCCTCACTAAACTGCCACCCAGACAAAGTGAGCACATTGTCCTATTGACCAAACTTGGGTGATTATTTTTCAGCCTCACAGTACTATTGCATATTCTGCCTCTGCGGGATTTTTTTCATTTAGAAAGAATAACAATAAAATCCAAATTCTGCACATCAGTGAGAGTAAATGCATTCCAGTAATGGAAAACTCATAGCTCCTGACACCTGGGCAGCCAGCCCAGCTTGGTATTGAGCATACATATTCACTAATTCTTATTTAGAGGTGAATCAATTGATGTTAGCAGCATAAGCACACACCGTGTGAGCCATCATTCAGATGTAAAGGGAAAACCAGCACCAGTTACAGGATTTCATCCGTACTGGGAATACTGGCCATGCATATATCCGTTGGCCACTGGCATGCCTGAATCTACTGAAATCTGAGGCCACAGCTGGGTGAGAGATGCTGAGCTGTACTCTCTTGTGTCCTGCACTCCCCTGGCACAGCCAAGTCTGCCATCCTTGGGTCAGAATGCGGCTTTTACCTCTTTTCCCAGGCCTTTTCTGGGCTGGAGGGAGCCAATTGGATGAGAGGGGGCAAGAAGTTGTGTTAAATCACAAAGACACTCCTCTGGAAAGCTGGCTTGCATGTTTGATATATGACTATGGAGATTAACTAATTTTAAATTAGTTAAATGGAAAGGCTAAAAGCTACTTACTTTCTGCATTGTTGGTCAGTGATAATAAACCCGTGGGAATTTATTATAACAATTATGCTGTGAGTTTCAATACTCTGAGTATTGTAACTTTTGCAACTTTATGGAGAAAAGTTCTTTTCTACTGGGATCTTTTCAAATATTAATGGAAATTTTAACATGTGCTATAGGAAAAGGTGTTCTTTCTGCTTCACAGATTGAAATATTCGGTGTGTTTTCCAAACTTCAGTTTAAAAAGCCTTATTTTTATGCTATCATGTGGAATTTTTAACTCAAGATGGAGATCTAAAGCAGTCATATTGACAACTGAAAAGGCGAACACAGAGTAGAAGATCTCCCAGAGAGTCTCTGCAGATAAAGTAGAAAAAGATATGCAGAAGGAAAGCTTTTTGGTGAACTAAGCCCAATCCCCCATACTGCAAGGGTGTGTAGCCTTCTAGCTGGAATCTCATCTGAACCCACTGAGTTGTGCATCAGTAATAAGGCAGCATGGAAAGTATGCATCATTAATTTTTAAGAGAGTTACTGTTAGAAGAAAACTATCAGACTTGTGAGGAGTGTAATAGACCTGTCAGGGCCACATTTTAACGCCACAAGATTTTTATTTTCATGTCTCCAAAGAGTCAGTATCTGTTTAAGTTACTGCAACACTCATTTATT